GGAAAGGTCTAACTTGGATATGGGGTTGCATTGGTTTCCTTTGAACTTGTTTGTTCTGCTTTGCGGTTTATGCAGGTAGGTAAAAAGGGATGTTTGAAAAGGAAATTGATTTTGCCTAGTGGAGAAAAGGGAAAGGATTCTCCTGCTTCTACCTTTTGCTTGCCTGCATGTTAAATGTACTTGTATTTTGAAATGAATAATGTCAACAAGTACCATGAAAGAAAACTTGTAAATGTAGATAAACAAATTTGAATTTTCCTTGAGGGTTGGCACTTTTTGTCTTGACTGCCCACTTCAAGGATCCAAGGCAGGGGTTTGTATGCTTTCGGAGCCGGCCATGTGGACCCGACTCATCGAGGGTGGTACTTTGCCGACTCGGTGGTGACGGCCCAACCTCTGAGATCCGGGTCTTCCTTGTCTTCTCCAGCCTCTATTGTTATGATCCTAGCCAATTTCGAAGTACAAAATTCATGAGAAAGCATAATGCCGTCCAATTGCAAAAGAAATGAATGACCTTGAGAGGAGAGAGAGTGAAAGAAGAAGCAGAAGAAGAAAGAAAGAAAAAGAAGGTGTACACCAGCAAAGACCAATGGTGATCCCCGTCTTCTCGCCAATCACTTCTCCTCCTCCTTTTCTCAGCCCCTCTTTATTCACAATAAATAATAATAATAATGTTGAACGCTGAACCAGAATCAATGTCCGAATCCCTCTACAACTGCAGGTACAACATGAGGTCCACCATAGCCATGGCCACCCTTTTCCTTCCTCTTCTGAAGGCCGAGGCTATGGCGGTCTCCTGGGGCCCTGCCCTGCTGTGCAAAAGATAACTCAAAGCAGCTGTGGCTGCTCTGGCTCAGGCCGCCATGCCTGACTCTGCCTCGAAGCTCTGATGTAGCTCTACCCCAACGGGGGCCTTCCATATACAGTGCCCGCCAAGATGATGAAGATGGTGCTCTTCCCTTCCTAGTCCTTGCCTTCCTCCTCCTCCAGCCCGAGCTCCACCGCCATAGCCACGATGGAGGGAGCTGGGCGCTTCTTCTTCCCCAGCAGTGCTGCTGAGTCCAGCGCTGCTTCCAGGCCGCGCGGCCGCCAAGCAACCGGTACCTCCTCCGATACAGGCCCTAGACTAAGACTGGTTGGACTGGTACCCGCTTAGAGCTAGCCTACAACTACTGGGCCTCTAAAAATGCAAACTTTTGTCTTCTTCTGCTCAGCCTCGAGTAACCGGCACATCTACCTCTACTTGGTGTGGTACCGGCCTACCTGCTACTTGAGTTTTTTTCCACTGCTTTAAGTGTCGCGAGCCTCTTTCCCCGCCACTTGAGTGTTTCCCCGCTGCAACCCTCAATGTCACGGCCACAGGTAAGTACCGGCCCTTCAAGCCTCCCGTACGGACGAGTACCTTTTTGTGTCACACACACACTTAAACCGACAAGCAAGCACATCGGCACGTACGCACACACACAGAATTAGAAAACTCAACAAGAACCGGCAAACTCAACAAGGCATACATTCCATTGGCAAAACTCAGAAATCAGCTGTGTGTCTTTGTCCGTGTTTGGCAGGTCCTTACACTATTCTTCTTTCCTTCGTTTGTACCAGTCCTTCCTCTTCTTCTTCTTCCTCCTCTTTTCAACATCAAACTCTTTTTGTAACTCTTCTTTCTTCTTCATCTCTGCCTCCATCCGCTTTCGTTCATCCTCCAATTTCTTTTTCAGATCATCCGCCTTCTTCTTCTTCTTCTCCTCCTCCTCTCATCTCTTCTCCGCTAGCCTCCTATCAATTCCTGTGTGCTCCTCTTTAGTAAATGGCTGGGTGGATCACCGGATCTCATAGTAGTGCACATTCTACTGGTCAGGAGGAAGCCAAGAGGGAAAAAGAAACGGATCAGCGGCCCCCATATTACGGATAAGGCCAAGAAAGCAAACATGGGGTAGTCATCCATGGTGAAAGTTGGCACAGGTAAGTAGACTCCGCCTCCTCACCACTGCGTCAGCTCTGTTTCGGTTGCATGCTAGTCAGTACCGGTCTTAGGGCTAGCCGGGTTGTTTTACGAGCGCCCACCTCTCATGCCCATGCTCCCTACTTGCGGGTGATTCATCCAGCTGTTGAGCTTCTACCCTAGACTCGACCTAAAGCACACACGGGTATAGATCTCTCACGGGGCTAGGGTCCCACTGGATGCGCATGCCCCCAGGTAGGCCGGCAAGCACTAACCGCTTCCCCACAAGGGGAGGAGCCTTTCCTCCAGGAGAGAATCCGTCCTCTGGACTAACACACAAGCTCGAGCAGATCCAGTTGCTGACTCAAAAACAATTGCGAAATTGACCAGCAGCAGTGTCTCCAAGATGTGGGAAGGTACTCAGACATACACAATTCAAAAAGACAACAATATAGATACCGCTTCCGGCATGCAGGTACGTGCTCCCCCTTCCTCCCAACAGGACTCTCTCTCTCCCTCTCTCTCTCTGACGCACTCAATACTTGTATCACTCTGCCTTGACACTTCTCTCTCTTGCACTCTCTGTCTCTGCTACTATGAGAACTGTAACCCTGGATACATCCGCCTTCCCCCTACTACTCTGCTCTACCGCAGATATGGCCGCCAGTCTCCCTCGCGCCGCCCGATGGGACTCTCTGAAGCACAGCCCAAATGTGATGTTGCACAAGCTGCCAACACCACTTCCACTTTCTCACGAATGAACAGTGTGTGTGGACTGCGCTGGAGCAGTCTTTAATATTGACTTGACTTGGCCTTGGCTTGACTTGAGTTGACTTGGCCTTGGCCTGCTTCTGACTGGTACCGGTTGCCCACGGCCTGTTTGTGGCTTGGATTTTTGAGGTCCGGCACCTTCCAGATTTCCTTGAAGCGCTGCTGCATTTGGACTTTGGGACGAGACTCTTTTGTCGGGTACCGGTTGGACTTTCACCAGTTGGGCCTGAGGGGTACCAGGCCGACGTGACCCTTGTTGGCCTCTTCCGCCTTTTTCTTGACTTAAGGACTCTGACCCTAGAACTGGGAATTGGGGTCCCAGCCATTGTTCGAAGACGTCACCGTGGACGCCCATGTTCTTCGCGGGTCGGCCTACCGGGGCAAAATGGCCGGTGGCACCAGCCAAAACAAGGCCGGCACCAGTTCGGGTTCTTGGCGCACAGGGCCTTTCCAGGCTTGGGAAAGGAAGGGTCAAAAGTCCTGGTGGTTTTATTAGTAGTGAACAACGGAAATGCCAGGTAGCTTTTTATTTATTACTTTTCTTCCCTGCCTATGGTGCTGGTCAGTTGTGTTTAGAATGATTAACATCTGAAAGTCCATGAAACAGGGCAGGTACAGGTGTTTCAGTCAGACAACGCCCTTGGTCATACTGAAAAACAAATTACTGTCTGATGTCACCTGCCCTGTGGCATTCCACGGGTCCCGCATGGGCCCCATTGGGCCCGGCACTAGGGTTAGGAGTTCTGTAGGGTTTAGGGTCTGTTTAGGCCAGTGTCATTTCAGCCCGTAGGGTCAGGCAGTCTGTTAACGGTCCAGCCTAGGACCGGCACCTGTTAGAGGCCCAGTTAGGCCAGTACAGGCCTGGCGCAGTTTTGTTTTGGCACAGGCCACTGTTTCATTTCGGACCGTTCTGAGTTTGGGCACCAGGCTAGGCGCCAACCACTTTCAGCTTTGGTGCCAGACCCTGGCTCAGCTGGGCACTGGTAGAGGCAGCCTCCCAGTTGGACCAGCGCTACTTAAAGCTGGTCCGCCCAGGTAGTAGGCAGGTAGTACTCAGGCAGTGTCGTAGGTATCAGTAGTCGACGCGGTGGGCGCAGATAGGAGCTGAGGCGCTGCAGTTACACTGCAGCCACACACACACACACACACACAGAGAGAGAGAGAGAGAGAGAGAGAGAGAGAGAGAGAGAGAGAGAGAGAGAGAGAGAGAGAGAGAGAGAGAG